TTATTATCACATGAAAGTAAACGTCTTTATAATGTTTCCGTTTTAAGGATAGACTCGATCATTATAATAGTTTGATTGAAAATGTATTTGAACTTGTTATTAAAATATATAGCGATCCTTTATTTTCAAGGAGTGAATTGTCAGTTAGATTAGAAAAGGCTTTTTTAATGGGAACTTGTTATAAACATTCCAAAATTCGTAATCAATTTATGGAGATCTTTGATCATAGCTTATCTAAAGTTTTACCACCACGGCTTCATTATATTCTTGATAAGCAAAATTGGGAATTACTTGGTGATTATTTCTGGATACATCAGGCTTTGGATCTTTTAATCGGCGCAATTTCTCATAAAAAAAGTATTCAAATGACACACAATTTACAAATCAAATCAATCGCAACACTAGGTGATTTATCATCTTTTACAGATTCTTCAGAAAGCATTGATCAAAAATTTGAGGATTTTCTGCAAAAACACAGGGAATTTTTATTTGAAGTTAAAAAATTATGTGTTGGAGATCTATTATCACCTTTAAAACAGCTCCACCAATTAGACAATAAAATAGCATATGATTTATGGGTCCATCTTTTCCCAATTTGTTGGTCAGCTATAAACAATAAAGAAAGACAAGATTTAACCAACAAATTAGTGACACTTTTATCAGAAGATTATCATGATGTTCAAAAAGATTTCCAACCAAATTGTATACAAGCAATATTAGATGGAATATCACATTGCTCACCTGTTCTGAAATTGCCGCCACACTTGATTAAATACCTTGGTAAATTACATTAATTCACAATGATTTCTTGATCAGCATTAAAAATTTTTGGCAATAAGCGCAGCATTTGATGTTATTAGATATGAAGCACTATATCCGAACGATTTCTTAATCAGGAAAGATCACCATTAAAATTTTCGGTAAATGGCGCAGCATTTGATGTGGAAAGGCACGTGATTAAAATTAAAAAAATGTCATTTTTGAAACATTTGGCACTTGCAGGAGGTTGAAATTTTAAATTAGGCATTAGTTCATTCCATAATCTTCTAAAAGAATTGTAAGAAATAATTTTTTTTCTTCTAAATCATTTTCTGATTCAACTTTTAAAATATTTTCTAAATAAAATTTTAAATTCTTTATACAGATATAAATTTTTTTATCAGTAGGAAGATAAATAAATGCTCCAGAATCATTCCTATGCCTCATTGGTGAAGGTAACCATGTATTAAAGAATATTGATTTAAAAAATTTCTTACAATGGATTTTAAATTTTCATCAATATTGACTTTAGTTTTATGTATAAGGGCTCTCCCTGTTTTTGCATGAATTTTGTTCATTTATGTAAATGTTCTACAATATTTTGAACCTATGGCCACTTATATTGTATGACATTAAAAATGCTGTTTTACAAAGAGAATATGCTGAATTAAAACAAAATTTATAATTTATTCTCTGAGGAATATTTTCAGAGGGCTCTTTACAATTTTTGTTTTCTATTCCTATTGCTAAAAGTTGTGCTTTCAAAAATAAATCTAATTCTTTATTAGCTAAATTAATAATTTGAAAATATCTTTTGAAAGAATTTTTTAAATCTAATTTTTTCAAGTTCTAATATCTCTTTGTCTAGAGATTGGAATTGTCCAAAAAAATCCTTAGTTGGCTACTTGTTGGCCAAAATTTCTTAATCAACTAATCAGTCAATTAAAAAATTTTTTTTAATAATAATAATTTGTTTTCTTTTTTTTTTTTTTAATTTGCAAATTATGAAATTAATTTCCATTTGAATCTTTCACTTTTTCAAAATACATCCATGCAAAATCATGTGTTACAATTTGTTTTTTTAAAGGTCTTCTGGAACCACCGCTTAAATCATCAGAACTTGAAGCCAATGAACTAATGGACCTTGTATCAGAAGTGTTTATTTGTTCACATGTAAAATTATCATCAACAACACCACCACTATTGTTATCATCATCATATTGATGGTATTGATACTCTTCTGCATAGAAATTTTCCATTTTGAATGATAAAACACAAAAATTGTAATTGGTCAGACAATAATAATATTAGCATAGTATTAGCATTAGTATTAGCAGTATTAGCACTTGACTAAAATAGTTGACTAAATAATTGATTAAAATAGTTGACTATTTAGTCGATTCCAACCTCTATTTTTGTCTTTCAAAAATACGACATGTACAACTTTTTGGATTTTTAAAAAAATTCTTTAAATTATGAATAATTTCTTGAATGTTTTCAAGTTCAAATAAATCATAATAATTATACATGAGATGGTAATTGGCTAATTACCGTAAATACGTAATTCGTAATTAACGTTTTTAAAGAGTGAAAACGGTAATTAATTATGTAATTACGTAATTAATTTACAGGTGACGAAATTAATTACGGGCAACGAATTAATTACAAATTTTCTATACAAACCGTTGTTAACACTATACATGGGATGGTGATTGCCTAATTACTGTAAATATGTGATATTAATATATATTTTTTATTTTATAAGATAGATTTATGAACAAATCAAAAGATTATTATTATTAATTAACTTGTTATTATGACTTGTATTCATGATTTTATTTTTACACAAGTTTTGTCTTGTCCATTATAAATAAAAAATAAAAATCAAGATTTTAAATAAGAAATAAATGGAGATGAGATATTATTTTGCGGTCTGTTACTAAAAATTATATTTATGACAAACAGCTTTCACCCACAAATAAAAAAAAAACAACAGGTCAAAGTGGTAATGGCACAGTAACCCGTCCTTCTCCATGAATAATAGAAAAGGACAGGGGACGGGATGCTGTACCTCGACCGCGCCACGCCTGTCCCTCGTAATTGCCCGTCCTTTTCTAGTATTAATGGGCCAAACTTGAAAAGGACGGGGGACGGGTTCAAGCCACACTTGCCTGTCCCCCATCCTTTTCCAGCATCCCATTTAATGTGATGGTCTAAAGCTGCCACCTGTCCTCACCCTGCTTAAATGAATAACAGCTTAAACAAAATTGAAAAGACTTATGAGCTAATCCCAATGATAACACTTTTGTAGCACCATGGTCAGCTATTTGTCTACATGGTTTAGCACAGTAAACCTTCTGATGAAGACTCATCCATTTTGCTTTGGATGAATGCTTCCAACCTTATAATGTCATAATTAAGCATTTCACCTTCCACTTCCGTACATATGATCCAGAGTTGTGTGAAAAATTTTAATTTTATGCATTTAAATTTCACGTCTAGAACATATGCACTGTAGATCATTTGCAAGCAATCTTTGCTATCATTAGCAACAGTCCAAACTATTTTCTGTTCAGAATCGTTGTATAGTGTGCGAGCATACCTCCCTTTTGAGAAGGTGGGTGGTTTGATGTTTAAGCCTGAGCATAGAGTTGTACCCTCCATAAGTGCATTTGGAGGGTTACACGTTGGCCAATGGTCACGTGTTTAAATGATGGAATCCCCAATATTTTTTAAATTTTATGAAATAAAAAAAATATATAATAAATATACGTGTCTTCTATAATTGTTTTTATTTGAATTCTTTTTTCTTATTAATAATAACAAAAAAATTAACGATTTAACTTCAAGATAGAATTCGACATTCTTTAAAACATGTCCAGCCATGAATTTTCTTCACCTGATCTATATGCCTCAAGGCTAATGGATTCAAAAATAAGTTTGTAAAAAAACTATTTAATTCTTTTGCCGTTTTGGTCCAAGTTCAAACTAAATCTTAATTTTGTTTTCCCTCTCTATTTAAATCAAAGATTTCAAAACCAAGTTGACCATTGCTACAAATTTGAGAGATTCTGTTGAAATGTATCAAAATTCAGATTATCCTCGTTTTTTACATTATTTAATGCCAGTTTTAAACAATATTCTTCAAAACGAGCCACCAGTATTTGATAGTAACTCAGAAGAACAAGTAATTACATAAAATCTTTTTTTAACATTCCATTATTTTTGTTGATTTTGGCTTTTTTTTTATTTTAGAAATTACGCAACCTTTATTTAGAAATTTTACATAGGCTACCACAAAATGAATCACTTAGACCCTTTGCACCCGACTTATTGAAACTTGTAATGAATTTATTAAAAAAAGAAAATGAAGATAATGCTGTGATATGTTTAAAAATAATTATAGAATTGCATAGATGTCATAAAAATTTACTTGAAGATCAAGTTCAACCATTTTTAGATATTGTAAAAGAAATGTATGCAAATATGGAAAAGGCAGTAAGGGATGCCTTTGATACTCCTGGGACTGCGGTTGCAACGCCTAGTGCTAGTACGGTACATATGATTTAATTTTTTTTATTTAATTAAGAAATATATTGTTCCTTTCAAAAAAGATTATTTTATTTACAATATCACATGTTTCTAGCCGGTGCAATCATCTATGCCTATCCCACCTTCGCCACGTCCTTCATCCCCAGTATCAGATGTAACAACCAATGAATCTACTCCAAATAAAGTATTGGCCGATAGTTTACACAGTTTCAAGGTTTTAACAGAATGTCCAATTATTGTTGTGCTAATTTTTCAATCACATCGCAATGTTGTGAATGAAAACATCCAAAGCTTTTTACCACTTATTATAAGAGTATCTATCTTATTTATTATTCTTGATAATTCTCTTTTTTTATTTTAACTAAATAAACATATTATCAATTAATTATTTTATTATATTGGCCAATTCATATTGAAAACTAGACATTAAGTCTTCAACCTCAACCACAAGCTGAGGCACATGAAGCAGCAAAAGCTAGAGGTGAAATTTTTGTTGGTGTTGCTCCAGGGATAAGAGATAAAGTGAAATATACAGAATTTATTGTTGCTCAAGTTAAAGTATGGTTTACAACACAATAGCCACTATATTTTATTTAATTTATAAATCATTCAAAAAAGTTTCTTTTTAATAGTAATACATTTTCAAATATTATTTAATTAGACATTGGCTTTTTTGGCATATGTTTTGAGAGCTTATACTACAGCATTATCTCGTTACCAAGATCAAGTTCCAGAATTTATAATTCGTCTTCTTCATGATTGTCCTACAGAAGCATCAGCTACTAGAAAAGTAGTGCACCGAGATTTTCTTTATTTGTATATTTGATGACTTGGTATTTTTCCATAATTGACAAAATATAATAAATTTATAGGAGCTCTTGGTAGCTACACGACATATTCTTTCAACAGAGTTTCGTAATGGTTTTATTAATAAATTAGATATTCTTTTGAATGAAAAAGTACTTATTGGTACTGGGGTTACAGTTTTTGATACATTAAAGTAACTTATTTTTATTTTTATTTTTATCATCATCATCATTATTAGAATCATGGCATAAACTTTTATTATTAATAATATTATTATTGTCATTATAGACCTCTGGCATATAGCATGTTGGCAGATTTACTTCACCACATCCGAGATAAACTTACACTTCAACAACTTTCAAAGATTGTGTATATATATTCATGCATTTTGCATGATCCAACTTTCACACCAAATATTCAAACAATGTGTGCAAAATTATTAATACATTTAATAGAATCCATTTTAAATAATTCTCACAGAGATGAACATTTTGATGGTAAAATAACATTAATACATTTATATAATCTTTTTATTTATATTATTTTATTTATCGAAATTATTTTATGATTTTAAAATAAAAGTTCGAGATATACTTATTAAAACATTAGATACTTTTGCAAATAAATTTGAGAATTTAAACATATTATTTCCTACTATTCTTCGTCAGTATCAAAAAAAGAAAACAATTAATAATAACAATAACATTGATAATAGCATAAATAGTCAACTAACAACCAATAATTTATTAACCAATACTGATGATTTTGATTTTGAGCAAGCACAACCAATTCATTCAAATATGACCAGTGAAAATCAAATAGATCTTCTTAATGGTGAAGAGAAATTTTATCCAATATATATATTAATTAAATATTTGAATTCTATATTACTTATTGATATCAATATATTTATTAATAAATAGATGGCCGTGTTTTATTTAGGACTCTTGTGGCAGGTATTAAACCTCTTATTCATTGGTTAAAACAATGTAACAATAGTGTAACTATACAAAAAATTAACTCTTTAACACTTGGAGTCACTCAAGAACAAGTTGAAATCTTTATTCAACTATTTAGAGAAGGAATTCGTTGTTTTGACTACTTTAATGTTGACAATCTTGATAATATGTCTCAACCAAAACTTTCTGAAAAATTGTTAACAATTGAATCTGCAAATAGAATTACTAAATTGGAAAAAGAAGCATTGGATCATTTTGGATTGGCTTTTGTTATAGTTGACCCAATAATATTTCAAGAGATTTTTTCATCACAAATGGACTTTTTTTTTGAACAGATGTTACAAAACCATTCATTACTTCAAATTTCTCATTGTTTTCTAACAACCAATGATATCATATCTCTTAGTTTCTCCGGAATTTTATTGCGATTTTTAGTGGATAGGTTGGACAAACTTGGAGGAACAGATACAATATATTCTTCAGTTATGCTTAGGCTATTCAAATCAATTTTCCAACCGCTTACCCAGTTTCCTAATCATAATGAAGCAGTTCTTCAACCACATGTTGCAAACATTATAACATCATCTATGAAACTTTCTGCAAAGGCTAAAGAACCAATTAATTATTTTATTCTTTTAAAAACACTTTTTAGGTGCCTTGCAGCTGGCAAGTATGAAATTTTGTACAGGGAAATTTCTCCATTGTTACCAATGCTACTAGAAGGATTAAACAAATTTTTAACGTTAACACAAAAGCAACAAATGCAAAACTTGTTTGTTGAGCTTTGTCTTACAGTTCCTGTTCGTTTGAGTTCACTCCTCCCATATCTTAATTATTTGATGAAACCTCTGGTTTTAGCATTAAAAGCAGGTCCAGATTTAGTTAGTCAGGGGCTTCGTACTTTAGAACTTTGTATTGATAATTTAACCCCAGACTTCTTAGATCCTATATTAGCACCAGTAATTAATGAATTGATGCATGCACTTTGGAGACATCTTAAACCACCACCTTATGATCAAAAATATAGCTATTCAGCCATGCAAATCTTGGGTAAACTTGGAGGTCGAAATCGCCGTATGTTAAAAGATCCACCAAAACTTAATACAAATTATTCTTTACTAAGCACTCTTGATCTGCAAATTTTTTTCAATTCAAGTTCTGCTTCATACTCAATTCAACTAGACGAATATCTAAAACTTGCTGGAAATATTTTACAAGATCCCAATGCTTCTAATTTTTATAAAATACATGCATATAAATTTATTGTTTCATTAATTCCACTATTTTTTGATTTAGATGAAGGTAGCGAAGACATAGGGAAATTAATCAGGGCACATCTACATAAAGTAATTTTTCCAACCATTAATATAGAATCAAAAAATAATAAAAGCCTAAGTGATGAAAAAATGGATCTAGATATAGAGACACCTAATGATATTCCAAGTCAACAATTAATTAAAAGCAAAACTAATAAAGATGGCGAAAAGAATATTTCAAAAAAGAAAGCCGTACAAGAGGAGACATTGAAAAATGTTTTATGTGCTTTATTTTTTGCCTCGTCTTTGTCTGAACTTAAAGAATATTCATGGCCATTCTTACAAAATATTTGTCGGCATTTTGCATTTTTAGAGATTGGTGAATTAATTGAATTCAATAAAGCAAAAAAGGAAAGATTTAATTTTAATGTTGATGATAAAAGATATAGTTTTGAGACCAAGGCAATGTTAGAGGCTTTAATTGAAACCATTACATCTGAAAATCTTAAATTACGTAGTTTGGCAAGTTCAGCTATAACAATTATTTATGAAGCTTGTTTATTAATTTCTGGATCAAAACAAATAATTAGCCATTGTCCTTTCTTCTTTTTCCTAGCTTCAAGGTTTTGTTCATGCTGTTACCAACAAGAATGGTTTTATAAAAGTGGTGGTTGTTTAGGCATATCTATAATAAGTTCTCAACTTAATATGGGCATTAAATGGATGTTAGATCATGAGATAGAATTCGTTAAAGCTCTTCTTTTTGTATTGAAAGATATTTCTCCTGAATTTGCAGCTGGAAATATTGAGGATGTACCACAAATTCTCTTACGTATTATTGAGATTTGTAACCAACAAAATTCATCATCAATTGATAGTGATGTTGAAATTCAAGATTCTAATGATAAAAAAATCAAGTTTGATAAGCTTATAATCACATTAACTTCAGAATTATGCAATGTAAATGAGTCTGTAAGAGAAACAATACATTCAGCATTTAAACTTTTAAGTGAATTGACTCAAAGGACTATTACCTGTTTACTTTCCCAAGCTAAAGACATTTTAATTAATTTAATGTTTGGTCAACCTC